CTTGAGCACCTCTGAGTTCAATCCTTAGTACCAGAAAAACAAACACAAAACTTATGCTCCAGGGGCTAGGGATGTGGCTCAAGCGGTAGCGCGCTTGCCTGGCTTGCGTGTGGCCCGGGTTCGATCCTCAGCACCACATACAAACAAAGATGTTGTGTCCGCCGAAAACTAAAAAATCAATATTAAAAATTCTCTCTCTCCTTCTGTCTCTCTTTAAAAACAAAAAACAACAACAACAAAAAAAATAACTTATGCTCCAAACATATAGATCACCACTTCTGAAGATGCCCCATGCATGCTTATGTTGCTCCACCATCTGGGAAGTATTTCTTCCCCATCTCTGACTACTAAATAGTCTAATCTATCCTTGCAAGTCAGACTTTTCTGCCCTATCAGAATTAATCTAAGCCTCTTTAATTCTTTAAACCTCTAACCCTATATTAAAGCTAAGCCTCTTTAATTCTTTAGACCTCTAACCCTATATTAAAGCTAATGGTAGGGCTGGTGGTATAGCTCAGTGGTATAGTGCTTGCCCAGCATGTGTAAGGTGTAAGGACCTGAGATCTGAGATTGATCCCCTATGGAAAAAAAAAAAAAAAAAGACACAGTGGCAGAGCTTATAATCCCAGCAGCTGATAAGAGTGAGGCATGAGGAACACAAATTCAAAGCCAGCCTCAGCCTCAGCAATTTAGCAAGGCCCTGAGCAGCTCAGAAAGACCCTGGCTCTAAATAGAATATTTTTAAAAAAGGACTGGGGATGTGGCTACATGGTTAAGCACCACTGGGTTCAATCCCCAGTACCAAAATAAATATATAAAAATGAATGATCTGGGTGTAGCACAACTGTAGTCCCAGCTGCTTCAGAAGCTGAGGCTGAGGTGGGAGGATCATCTTAAGCCCATAAGTCAGAGACCAACCTGGTTGACATAGCAAGACCCATGGTAAACAAAGTTAATGGCATTGTTTGACTTTTGACTTGTATTATAGCTATCTATGGCCCTAGACAGGTTGTAAGATTCTTTTTTTTTAAGCCACATCCCCAGCTCTATTTTGTATTTTATTTAGAGACAGGGTCTCACTGAATTGCTGAGGCTGGCTTTTGAACTTGTGATCCTCCTGCCTCAGCCTCTCAAACTGCTGGGATTACAGGCGTGCGCCACCGCGCCCAGCTGTAAGATTCTTTATGGTAAATGCTTTTGCTTCATTCAAGACCTTGCCCTCATTTTGGGGTTCCTGTTTCTAGAGTGGTTCAGTGCAGTGCTGTCACCTGCTGGTCACACATGGCCCAGCAGCCCTGAGCCCAGCACCTTCCTCCCTCCAGTACTAAGGCCTGTGCCAACCTTACCTGTCAGGAGCTGAAAGTTGCTTGTGACAATGTTGACTCACGGTATCACTCTTCAGAACTTTTCCCACTGACTCCCCCCACCCAGCAATCGACACTCTACATCTTCTCTAGAAACACAGCAATATAATCGGATCTCAAGGATCTGGACCGCAAAGAAAGAAGCCGACAAACATTTTGAGAGTGGAGAATGTGCATCCCCTTCTGCCTGTTTCAAAGAGTCAAGTCGGTTTTATCAGAGACCTTCTATTCCTTTTGTCCTTCGTCTTATGTCTAGGTGACCGTTTGGCCACTGGCCCCCTTGGCGACAGGGATGGTGAACCGGAGGTAGAGCACAGAGTAGGTAGGCGGGGCTTGAGGGGTGGGGCCAGGCCAGAGGGCCTCTCACTTAGGAGCTTCTCCATTCTGCCAGCTCTCCGGGAACATCCAAGGCAAGACTGGCACCAGTGCGTGACAGGTGAGGGACCAGCAATGACAGAAGGTAGACTTCAGGGTGACGGTGGGCAGAGGGTCTCTAGCTGTTTCAGACCTTAGCTTTCTATATTGTGAAGCTTACACGTGCAGAATTCTTGGTTGTAAGTAACCCAGTAAAGTTGAGTTTTCCCTGGGGCAAGGCGCCTGGGAAAGAAAGTCCTGGCTTGGGAGAGGGGTGTGGGTGGGGAGGGCTGAGGGCTGAGGGTGGGTATGGGTGTGTGGCGAGGATTGGAAGATATAAGGAAATGTCAAAGACATGGAGGTAGGTGGGTCAGGACAGAGGGAGACCATGGCCAGAATTAAAGGCAGAGCCTGGAGGGGAGAAAAGGGGACACTGTAAGGAGGAGAGGGTGAGAAGACTGAACCAAATGTGAGATGGCAATAAGGGCAACGCAGAGCTGGGTAACAGGAAGGCCAAGGAGGAAGGAAGGCTCACATGGAGCAATGTCTCTTCCGGTGGCTGTGGAGCCTCATCTAGAAAGCCCCAGGGCAAGCCAGAGGCAAATCAATGTTGAAGGTTCCCATTGGAATGATTCAGCTGGGGAAGAAACCCCTTCAGGTACCCACCTCCCCTGCCTCTTCAGACTCCCATATTCATTTAGGGGAGAGGACCAGGCTGCTCCTCACTGCGGTCACAGCCACCACATCCTGCAGAGCAGGGGAGGGGGAAGTAAGAAGCAAAACAACCAGAAGAACCACAGGCGAGGATCCTGGGGGGAGAACCCTGGACATATTCATCATATATATCACTAGGAGGGCCTCTAGTTCAGCTCAGCAGACCAGAGCTTTAGGACTACCTGCCCTTCTTGAGGTGCTTGTTTCTCAGACTTGCTCAGTGTCTTCAACCTCGTTGACAGCTCTGGGGAAGAAGGGCTTTTTGGATTATTTGGTTTGACATCCATTGTTATCATTTACTAGTGATTTCAGCCAAACTGCTTAATTTCTCTTAACTTCAGTTTTTCTCATTGCAAAATGGGGATACCAACCTTATACAGTTGGGTAGACAGGTAATTCATATAAAGCATTTGGCACACAGTAGGTTTTGAGTAAATGTTAGGTATTCGTATTAGTACTCCTTGGGTCCCTGTGTTTGTCACTTTTTCAAATGCAAAGCAGTGACTGGGTATGGTGGTGCACACCTGTAATCCCAGTGATTTGGGAGGCCAAGGCAGGAGGATTGCAAACTCAAGGACAGTCTCAGATGCTTAGGAAGACCCTGTCTCAAAATAAAAAATAAAAAGGGTTGAGGGGCTGGAGATGAGACTCAGTGGTAGAATGCATGAACAAAGGCCCTGGGTTTGATCCCCAGCACTGCAAAATAAATAAATAAAATAAAAAGGGCTGGGATGTAGTTTAGTGGTAGAGCACACCTGGATTCAATCCCAAGTATTGAAAACAAATAAGATAAAAATGCAATATAGTACAGATGGGCTTTTGGAGACCAAAAAACCAGTTGTGATTGATTTTGGGTAAATACTTTAACCCAAGTCTGAGTTTGCTCAGTAGTAAAACATCAAGAGTGATGTCTATACCTTACAGCTGTAGGTATACAGTTAGCATCCAAAAATGATAGCTGTGAGAATTAACTGCCAGGTAAGCCCCACTCTCTCCACTGTGGCAGCAACAGACTACTTCCCCTGAGGCTTTGCAACTCCTGGAGGCTAGCTTCTCTGTGTGCTCGGTCCTCCAGTCTGGGTAACCCACGCTCTTCAGGGCTGTTTTGGAGATCAAGATTTCATACAGCACTAAAGGAAAAAAGCAACAGCAAGGCAGAGAGGATGGAGGGGCCCAGGGGAAAGAGGACAAAGGAACCACAGAAGCAACAGAAAGGGGAAAAGCCGGTTCTCTCTTTCTAAGGAAGCCTGTGGCCTCTCTTCTAGTGACTGTCCACATACCCATTCCCAGACACCATGGAGTCCTTCAGCTCAAAGAGTCTGGCACTGCAAGCGGAGAAGAAACTACTAAGTAAGATGGCAGGTCGGTCTGTGGTTCACCTCTTCATTGATGAGACAAGCAGCGAGGTGCTAGACGAGCTGTACCGTGTGTCCAAAGAGTACACGCACAGTCGGCCCCAGGCCCAGCGGGTTATCAAGGACCTGATCAAGGTGGCTGTCAAGGTGGCTGTGCTGCACCGCAATGGCAGCTTTGGCCCCAGCGAGCTGGACCTGGCTACCCACTTTCGCCAGAAGCTGCGGCAGGGTGCCATGACAGCACTGAGCTTTGGCGAGGTGGACTTCACTTTCGAGGCTGCCGTGTTAGCAAGCCTGCTCACTGAGTGCCGAGACACGCTGCTGGAACTGGTGCAGCACCACCTCACACCCAAGTCACAGGGCCGCATTCGCCACGTGTTTGATCACTTCTCTGACCCAGGGCTGCTCACAGCCCTCTACGGGCCTGGCTTCACTCAGCACCTTGGCAAGATCTGCGATGGGCTCAGGAAGCTGCTGGATGAGGGGAAGCTCTGAAAGCTCTGAACCCAGCACCGCCTCCCGTGGCCAGCTGGAAAACAGATAACAGGCTTTCTAACCCTGCTCATCTGCACTAACGCTTTTCAATCCTCAGCCTTCGCTCTCCAGAGTGCTTTAGACTTTGAGACCACCCTGCCCCCAAACTGCTGGTGGAGAAGGAGCAATGCTGAGGGGTGAGGACTCTTTCCCACTCCAGCCCTAGCACAGGAAACAAAGCAGCCTGAAAAAGGCGAAGTGAAACTTGGATCTTTCTCCCATGAGGGACTCTGAAACAGGGAAGCCCCTTCTCCCATGAATCAAGGGAAGGGGTGCAGCCCATATAACCCCTCTGGGGACACTAAAGACAGGAGGGGGTAAGGTGGCCCTTAGAGATGTTCTAGACTCCCAGCTCTAGGTGGAGTTTGCCCAGATGTCAGAGCCTGTTTTAGAGTGCAGGAAGAAGCAACTAGGGTAAGGGAGATTCTCACAGGGGAAATAAAACTATTAAAATGTGCATAGGGCTCAATGTTTAATCTCTCCAGTTTTTTATACCTTAGGATCATCACAGAGGAAAGGAGGTATATAAACACCACTTGTCTCACCTCTCACTATTTCCAAACATTTCCAGTATTATTGAGGTTCCCTTGTCTACTTCTTCTGTTTAAGACAAAAAAACAAACTGTACCGCAAACCAGTGCTACAAATTGCAAATAAATATGCAGTAAGGGACAAGGCGTACACAGACAGGCTTTAGTGGGGAGGGGGTGTAACAAAGAGACTCCCACAACTGTCCTTCTCACACCCCAAGGCAATGCTTCTTCTATCCCTTAGCTCCACTGCAGGTTGAGCAGAGAGAGGTCAGAAGGGTGAACTGGAAGAATGGAGAATTCAGGTCTCTACACTGCTGCTTTTTCTTAGAAGTATAGGGACCTAGTTGGTCAGACTGAACCCAAATCCTTCACCTTGAGACTGGGGAAAAGACTTGGCACAGCCCACTGTTCTCCATGACAGCGCTAGACCACGATTCCCCTGTCCTTGATAACATGCGTGGGCAAGGAGTGGGGAAGCTGACGGACCACTTAATTGTGTCTGGGTTCCCCTCATTCCAGGGCTCTAGAAATCACATTTTCAGCTAACAGTGGGAAAGAGTTAGATACAGCAAATAAATATTACTTCAATATAGCACCAAATAAATTAGGTAACACAGGTGGAGATAGGGAAGAAGTTGAAAGGGAGTCTTTGCTTCTCTGCTCTAAGGCCAGAGAATGGTGAAAGGGATAGGAAAGGTAGCAAGGGTATAAAAAGAACCTTTTGAATCTAAAGGAAAACTCTAGATTCAGCCCAAGAACTAGGGAGGGGTCTAGGCCCCATCTCGAACTCCTGCCAGAAAAATGCCCAGGCCAAGGAATTCTTGGTCTACGGGGAGGCTGGAGAAGACAGCAGGAGTCGAGGGAGTCAGGCTGGGAAGCCATGTCCTTGAGCCTCACCTCAGGCTCCTCTCCCCCTCACACTGCTTCTTCAACATACTGCTTCTCTCAGTTCTGGGAACATCAGAGTTTGAAGATTTCATCCTCCTGGTCCCGCAGTGTCTGGGTCCGAGAGGTCCGGGTCAGTGGCACAGGACCTAGGACTGCTCGTTGCTGCATCCGAGGGGAGCTCTGATGGAGACCTGCATCTTCCCCAAGTATCCTGCAGGTGAGAAAAGCAGGGAAAGAGTGATAGATGAAGGGAAGAACGTGAGAATAGGCCAAGTGAAGAGGGGAAGCTCTCTTCCTCTCTTGATTCCTGAACTAGCTGTTCTAAGATGTATTTCTCAATACTAATGCTCCTGCATGGATTATCAGAGCAGGAAGAAGTCAACTGTTTTATTCCACTGATAACATGGAACCCAATTTCCCACCACCTCAACCCATCCAGCAGCCATTGGCTCTGCTCACTGTCTTGGGGTCACCAAGGAAAAGGTATCACCTCATTTCTGCTGGCACTTGTGTTTATGGTTAGGTAAGATGGAGGAATCTATGCAGGGACTTACAAGGAACTACTCAAGACCCACCTGCTTTCCCCTGTTCTCAGCTTTTGGGCAGCAGCCTTCTTTGACAGGCTGATCTGTGAATCAAGCTTCTTAAGGAAATCAGAGGCAGAGAGGTCATGGAGGGGAGTAGGGGGTTCCTGGCCAGCTTTAGGGAGAGCTTCACCATTGGCACGGCCTGAACCTGTCTCTTGTTTCTTCCTCTCAGCTGAGTGTAGCTGAACTTCATCCTTACGTGGGTCTACCTCTTCCTCTCCATCTTTCTCTTCCTCTGAATCCAAACCATTGAACAGGTCTCTGGGCTCTCTCAGGATGGGGATGTAGAGAGTTTTCTTCAGAAAGATGGAGTCATTAGTATAAAGGCGGTTTGCACGCTTGATCTGTTCCATCTTTTAAAAAAAGCCATCAAGATTAATAACAGTTACAATGATCAATCTTACATAGTATCTAAAACTTTTTAAAGTAATTGTACAGTCGTATCATAACAACCAATCTAAAATACATAGGGCTGACATTATTCCTATTTATATGTAAGCCATTTTCATATTCTTTAGTCTTAGGGCCCCTTTACATTTTTTTTAAATATTTATTTATTTAGTTAGTTAGTTAGTTTTCGTCGGACACAACATCTTTGTTTGTATGTGGAGCTGAGGATCGAACTCGGGCCGCACGCCTGCCAGGTGAGCGCACTACCACTTGAGCCACATCCCCAGCCCCGCCTTTACATTTTTAAAAATTATTGAGGCAAAAAGCTTTTATAAACCAGGCATGGTGGTGCATGCCTGCAGTACCAGCTACTCTTGAGGTTGAGTAGGAGAATCACATGTTTGAGGCCAGCTTGGGCAGCTTAGTGAGACTCAAAATAAAATGAAAAGGGCTGGGGACATAGCTTAGTGTAGAGTGATTGCCTACCACATGTGAAGTCCTGGGTTAATTCCCATTATGGCAAAAAAAAAAAAAAATTCTAGTAAATTAAACTGGGGTAGAACTAGAATCCTTGGCCTTTTACTCCTCCTGGGAATGCTTTTCACACTATAATAATTTCTTTCATAAAATATTTATTCATCACTGAACACAGTGACTGCCATCACAATCTATCTACTTGGTCTTGCAATGTCAGGCTGAGGATGCAGCTCAGTGGTATTTCCTGCTTGGAAATACATCTTTCCCCCCCACCCCCAGTACTGGAAATTGAGCCCAGGGGTATTCTACCACTGAGCTATATCCCTATTTTTTTATTTAATTTTTTTTAAACCAGGGATTAAACCTAGGAGTGCTTAACCATCAAGTCACATCCCTTTCCCTTTTAAAATATATTTTAAGACAAGGTCTCTTTAAATTGCTTAGGGCCTCACTAAGCTGCTGAGGCTGGCTTTGAACTCACAATCCTCCTGCCTCAGCCTTCCAAGCCACTGGGATCACAGGCGTGAGTGACCATGCCTGGCTTGATTTTGATTTTTTTTTTTTTTTTATGGTATTGAGCCCAGGGCCTCGCACATGCTAGGCAAGTGCTCTACTATTAAGCTACATCTTAAAAAATTATTATTATTATTATTATTTAAATTTATTCATTTTTTAAATATCTTTATTTTATCTTTATGTGGTGCTGAGGATCAAACCCAGTGCCTCATGCATGCCAGGCGAGCATGCTACCACTTGAGCCACATCCCGAGCCCCCAAAGTTATTTTTTGAAATAGAGTCTCTCACTAAGTGGCCCAGGCTGGCCTTGAATCTGCAATCCTCCTGTCTCAACCTCCAGTGTATCAGGGAATTACAGGCAAATGCCACAATACCCAGCTCAATGTCATCCTTATCATGTTTTTGTTTTGTTTTAGGTGGACATAATATATTTATTTTTATGTGGTGCTAGGGATCGAACCCAGTGCCTTGTGCATGCCAGGCCAGCCTGCTGCCACTTGAACCACATCCCCAGCCCCTTATCATGTACTTTTATCATCCACACCAAACTGGACAACAAAAGTGCTCTAAAAATCTGGGCTGGCAGGGCTGGGGATGTAGCTCCGTGGTAGAGTGCTTGCCTAGCATGTGCAAAGACCTGGGTTCAATACTCAATAATGAAGAAAGAGAGAGTGAGAGAAAGAGAGACAGACAGACATGCCTCATCTGATCTTATCTTCATGTCTAATGCCATTGCCCTAGAATAAACCCTTAATATTTCTCATCTGAGTTATCCCAACAGTGTAGTTGCTCTTCCTCTTTCACTTCTACTCATCTTCCTCTTCACAAATAGAAAAATAATCTGATTAACCCACTAGCCTGCTTATAAACTCCTATGGATCCTCACTGGCTAAAAGGTAAAAATCAGGGGTTATAGCTCAGTTGGAAGAATGCTTGCCTTGCATGCACAAGGCCCTGGGTTCACTCCCAGCACCACCAAAAATGAAAAATAAATTAACATTCAGGGTTTTCTCAGTCTAGTTTTCTCAGTCCAGAAATGTCTAGCCTTGTCTGTCTTCTGCCATCTATACAAACTTTGCTATCCTGAACTTTTCATTTTTCTTTGAAGATTCCATGATCTTTCATACTTTGTCTTATTCAAGCTGCTCTTTCTGCCTGAAATGCCTCCCCACTCTCCCCTTCTCTGCTTGGAGAATTTTTACTCATCAACACTCCTTTTGTGTTACCTTCTTCACAGCTGTAACTGATGTAATAATACTGGTCCTTCGAGGTGAGGGGATAGCTCAATAACAGAGGACTTGCCTGTCATGTGCAAGCCTCTGAATTTGATCCATGGAACTACACAAAAAACAAAAACAAGCTGGATGTGGTGGTGCATCCCTGTAATCCCAGCAACTAAGGAAGGTGAGGCAGGAAAATCAAAAATTCAAGACCAGACTGGACAACTTAAGGGGACCCTGTCTCAAATTTTTAAAAAAGGAGGGGGCTGGGTAAATATTAGTGGTAAAGCTCCCTGGCTCAATTCCCAGTACCAAATAAGTAAGTAAATAAATAAATAAATGGCTGGGGAATAGTTCAGTGGTAGAGTGCTTGCATATCATATGAGAGACCCTGAATTCAATCACCAGTAATGAAAAAATATAAAAGAAAAAAACCACAAAACACATTGCCTTACCATATTGTTATTTACTTCTATGAATGTTTTACTCAAACCCTGTGTCTTTGTAGCATTTTTTTTTTTGACGGTGTTATTGAACCCAGGGCCTTGTGCATGCGAGGCAAGCACTCTACTAACCGAGCTATATCCCCAGCACCTATTCAAACCCTGTGTCTTTATTTATGATTACTATTTTTAAAAATAGTTTTTAGTTGTAGATGAACACAATATTTTCATTTTTATTTATTTATTTTTATGTTGTGCTGAGGATCAAACCCAGGGCCTCATGCATGCGAGGCAAGCACTCTACCACTGAGCTACACCTCCAGCCCCTTTATGATTATTTTTTTTTAATGCAGTGCTGGGGACTGAACCTCAGGGCCTTGTGCATGCTAGGCAAGTACTCTCATTGAGCAAAATCTCCAGCCCTCCTGTGAATCTTAAGGGCAGGGATGGTGACTTGATGTCTCTGTATCCCCAAGGTGTACCTTAGCATCTCACAGAGCTTGGCACCCAGCAGGGGTTTACTTATTCATTATGAATAAACTAGATGATAAAATATAATAACTAAAGATAGAGTATGTTAGTATTATCAGAAGGCAGAGTGTCAATTTTATTATAATTTCATTTTATATTGGCACCAGTTTGGAAAATCACTTTTTTTTTGGACCTGGGGATTAAATCCAGAGGTGATTTACATTGAGCTACATCCCCAGTCCTTTTTATTTTTTATTTTAAGATACGGTCTAAGTTGTGGAAAAAAAAAATATAAAGATAATATCAGATAATATATGAACATATATATATATATATATATATATATATATATATATATATATATATATAAAACTGAATCGTTTACCACTGAGCTATATCCTCATCCTTAATCTTGATAAATTGGCCTTGAATTTGTGATCCTCCTCCCTTAGCCTCCCAAGAAGCAGAGATTATAGGTATGAATCATACCTGGCAAAAGTAAGAATTGTATTTTTATTTATTTATTTATTTTGGTACCAGGGATTGAACCCAGGGATGCTTACCCACTGAGCCACATCCAGAGCCCTTTTTATATTTTATTTAGAGACAGGTCTCACTGAGTTGCTTAGGGACTTACTAAGTTGTTGAGGTTGGTTTTGAACTCATGATCCTCCTACCTCAGCCTCTCAAACCACGGGGATTACAAGACAGCATCACCACACCCAGCCTCAGCCATTTTTATTTTTTATTTTGAGACAGGGTCTCAATAAATTGCTGAGGCTAGCTTTGAACTTGTCATCATCCTGCCTCAGCCTCCCAACTTGCTGGGATTATAGGCAGGCACTACCAACATCTGGCTTAAAAGTGAGGATTTTAATATGAGATGACCTGGTGTGAATCCTAATTATACCAATTATACTGTCTGTGTAGCCTTCCTAAGTCTTACTTTCAATTTATTTATGATATATGTTTTTATCTATTCTGTGGTACAGAGGATTGAATCCTGGGCCTCATGCATACTAGGAAGGCACTGAACTACACCTCCAGCCTTTTAAATTTTGACACATGGTATTATTATTTTGCCCAGGCTGGCCTCAAACTTTCAATCCTCCTGCCTCAATTTCAAGAGTAGCTAGGATTATAGGTATATGCCACCATACTGGCTCCTCATCTTTTTTTTTTTTCTTCTTTTTTAAAGAGAGAGAGAGAGAATTTTAATATTTATTTTTTAGTTTTCGGCGGGCACAACATCTTTATTTGTATGTGGTGCTGAGGATCGAACCCGGGCCGCACGCATACCAGGCAAATGTGCTACGGCTTGAGCCACATCCCCAGCCCCCTGGCTCCTCATCTTTAAATGAGAATAAGGACTAGGAAGGTAGCTCAGTGGTAGAGTGATTACCTATCATGCTTGAGGCCCTGGGTATAATCTCTAGCACCACAATAAATAAATAAGTAAGAATGGTTATACCTATTTCATAGTGTTATGAAGATAATATCAGATAATATATGTATAGAGCCTGGCATATGCTAAGTGTTCCTTAATTAATAGGTAGGTAATAACTTAAGTAAATATCATTATTTAATACACTTTCTTCATTTTACAAATAGTGGGAAAATTGAGGCTCCAAATGAGAAGAGACACAGCTACTAAGCAGAATAGAACCAGAACCTAAAATTCTTCATTAGACTACAGATCTTTTTTCAGGGATATAAGAAACCCTCAGGATGAGGGTGGTGGTGGTAGTGGTGCATGCCTGTAATCCCAGCTACTCCAGAGGCCTAGGCAGGAGGATTGCAATTTTTTTTTTTTTTTGAGGATTGCAAATTTGAGGCCAGCCTCAGAAAATTTACTGAGACCCTAACTCAAAAAAGGAAAGGGGGCCGGGCGTTGAGGATGAGACTCAGTGGTTAAGTGCTCCTGGATTCAATCCTCAGTACCAAAACAAACAAAAAAAGAAGGTATATCAGGCTGGGGGGTAGCTCAGTGGTAGAATGTTTATCTATGTGCAAGGACCTGGGTTGATCCTTAGCACTAAAAAATAAGGGGAGGGAAACTGGACTACCCAGGAAATCACTTATTATCTACTGAGTTTTGTTTTTGTTTTTTGGTGCTAGAGATTGAACCCAGAGCCTTGCATATGCAGATGCTCTACCAGAGAGCTATATCCCATGGTCCCCCAATTTCCTTGACATACCTGCAAGCCTTTGCTGAGACCAAGAGGCTGTCCTATATACTTTCTTTTTTCCTCCACTTTTTTTTTGATTGATGCATTATAGTTGTACACACTGATGAAATATTTTGTTACATATTTGTATATGCACACAATGCCCTATAATTTCATATTCACTTCCTTTGCTTATTAGGTCACTCTCTCTACTTGAAATGTTCCCTTTCTTATACTCCCAATCTCCACCTGTAGATTTTTTTTTTTTTTTTTTAGAGAGAGAGAGAGAATTTTTTAACTTTCGGTGGACACAACATCTTTTATTTTTATGTGGTGTTGAGGATCCAACCCAGTGCCCCACGCATGCCAGGCGAGGGTGATACCGCTTGAGCCACATCCCCAGCTCCTCCACCTGTAGATACTCAGCCTCAATTTCATTCCTTCATTCCAAAAAAAAAAAAAAATCTTTCAAGCTTCTAAGTATCTGAGACAATGCCAGACTTTAGACATACAAAGTTGAAAAGAAAAAGTTCCTACTCTCTAGGATATAGGCTATTGGAAAGACAAAGATATAAATAACTATATTAAATAGGTTTGTTGGAAGGGAGTATAGAGGAAGTCTTTCAAAGCTCAATGTGATAGCACCCTTAAAACCTGCACTGATGGCTATCCCTGCCTGCTTCCAAGCAAAAGTTAATCTTTTCTGTTTTCCCACTACTTGTAATTACCACTACAAACTCACCACATTCTTTCACCTATAATCATTATTTGTATCTCTGTCCATTCTCACTAGACTGTAAATTACATGAGCACAGCAACCATATATTTATGTTTCTGTCTCCAAAAAGGGTTATCACAGTGCTTTAAATGTACAAAGCAAGCCGAGTATGGTGATACACACCTATAATAATTCTACTTGGTGAGGCCTTCAGCAACTTAGTGATACCCTGTCTCAAAATAAAAAATAAAAAGTGATTCAGTGGTAAAATGCCCTGGGGTTAAATCCCCAGTACCAACAAGAAAAATAAATAAATATACAAAGTATAAAAATGTTGTCTAAATTCAACATTGTTTGTATGAGATGGAATAGGACATGGGGGGCGGAATCTCATCAACTTTAATGTTATAAATAAATATATATATATATATATATATATATATATATATATATATTTTTTTTTTTTTTTTTTTTTTTTTAATTTTTTGTACTTGGGAGTGAACCCAGGGGTACTCTACAACTGATCTACATCCCCAGTCATTTTTGTTTTTTTTATTTTGAGACAGGGTCTCACTAAGTTGCTGAGGTTGGCCTTGAACCTGTGATCCTCTTGCCTCAGCCTCTGGAGTAGTCACTGGGATTATAGACACACACCACCACGCCCATCTTAATGCAATATATTTTTACATATATCAAATTTCCCATAATCATGACCTGAAATACTTGATGTACAGAGTACGTGTTCTGCACCTGGAAAGAAAGCAGAGCCCTGAGGAGGAAACAAGAATGAGAAGAGATAAACACTTTAGGCACTGAGAGCTAAAAACCATCTCTTCATTATTTGCTGTAAATGTTTAATCTCTCAATTAAATTTTTTCTATGTGGTTAATAATATGGTCTTTAGAGTCAGACAGACTTGTCTGAATTCCAACTCTGATGTTCAGTTATTTGACCTTGATCAAACTGGTTAGCCAAGCTGTCTCAAGTTTCTCCGACGCAAAAAAAAAAAAAAAAAAAAACAATAGGTGTGTACTTGGAGGGATGCGAGGCTGAAACCGGCTCCTGCACACGACGCCCGGCACGGTGTCTGGCATAACCATTGGAACTACTTCTCTGCATCGGCACCGTGGGACAGGCTCCGTCCCCACCAGGCAGCGCAACACCGAGTGGGAACCCGAGATAAGAGAGGCCACCGCGCACGCAGGGGCGCGCCCGGGAGACGGCGGAAGGGGCCGTCTGCGCCGGGCGCGGGCCTCTCCGGGTGGTCGCGCACACGGTGCTCCGGGAGACTCACCGTCACTCCGTATCTGAGGGCCAGCCCGGCCAGGGTGTCTCCGGGTTCCAGCCGGTGCTCCAGGCGCCGCTCTCTCACCGGGGAGCAGGCGGACTGCACCAGGCTTCCGTAGGAACGAGCCCGGCTGCCCTGCAGCAGCCCAGAGCCTCCCAAGGGGGGCTGTCTAGAGGGAGAAGCCATCTCCTCACCCGGACAGCTGGGGTCGCGAAAGAGGTCGCCCGGTTAAGTGACAGGCAGTGTCGCTCCAACCCAGGGAATGACTATCCAGGGAATTCCTTCTCCTTCGTTCCTAAGCCTCCCTCCGCGCCCCCGCTCCGCTTTTCCTCTCTGCAACTCGCCCACCCACCGATCTGTCCCGAGTATTCAGTCCTGGAGTCTCAACACCCTCTGACTTTCATCCCCTCGCCGCGCCTCGCTGCGGTGACCTCTGACCTTTGAACTCTAGCCCCCTCCTCAACCCGCGTTCCTCAGGGTGTCTCCTAGTACGGCGGCCAGGCCTCCCGGGGCCCCCACGTTCCGGCTCGGCGCCGTCCTGAGTTTCATCTGCTAGGGTCAGGAGCACCTCGGGCCCACCCTAGGTCGGCTGTGGCCCCTGACGAGACGCTCGAAGACTGCGAGAGTTTGTAGGGCACATTCCACTGAGCTCCTGGGAGCCTGGCTCCGCACCAGGCAGGTCACACCCTCAAACTTGGGCTCCACATTAGGTTCTGGTCCCTTCCGACGCCTGGAATCCGTCAAGATGCTAGGGCCTCGACCCAGCTGAGCGGCAAGCTCTTTGAAAAAAAGACTTCATTTCCCAAAAGGCTCCGCGTCGGAGGGGTCGCAGCGCACCATAGGAAATGCAGTCCTCTCAGAACATTGGAGGCGGGCTTTCGGGATCGCGCGGTGCATTTGTGGAAGCGCACCTCCGGAAATTTACGGAGACCAACCCGGAAGAGACCGGAAGAAGGGACGGAGATGTTCCGTTCTTCCTACGGTAGCCTGAAGGAGTGGCGAAGCCGGCCCAAGAGAATTTATCATTTCTAGGGCTCAAGTTCGTGATGTCTTTCAAGAGGGAAGGCGATGATTGGAGTCAGCTCAATGTACTCAAAGTAAGTGCTAGTAGAGGGTCTGGAGCATCTTCAGCTGCCTTCTGAAGGCTGTGAAGGAGTTCTGTTATGTTGCCCTGGCAACAGCTGCGTTGGTAGTGGAGCGATCCAGACGAGAAGAAATGGGAGTGATCCCTTCTTCTTATGGAGGGACCAGAACCTAATGTGGAGCCCAGGTTGAGAGTGTGAGCTGCCTAGCGCGGAGCCAGGCTCCCAGGAGCTCTTCTTATGATCGCTGTTCTCCCCACGACCCTTATTCCACTTGGCTCCTCATCCCTATTATTTACCTTCCACCCATCTCTCCTATTCCGCGGATCCTTTCCAAACTTCTTCTGTCCCCTGCAGAAACGAAGGGTTGGGGACCTGCTGGCCAGTTACATCCCGGAGGATGAGGCTCTGATGCTACGGGATGGACGGTGAGGGCAAAGATTGGATCGAACCTAAGGGTTTCTGGCTCAACAAACTTTTGTTATTAAGGAATCAGGAGTATCTACGATTCTTTGGTGGGAAGTGAGGACTGGAAAAGGTGGAGATCGGGAGACCTGAGGGTTAGGCTTTGGAAAGGATTGCTAGAATAGGGTGGGACAAATTCCCCACCGCAGGAAACTCCTCTGTCCTTGAGCTTTTTATCCTCTTCTCTCCCCCTTCCCAGCTTTGCTTGTGCCATCTGCCCCCATCGACCTGTATTGGACACACTGGCCATGCTGACTGCCCATCGTTCAGGAAAGAAGCATCTGTCTAGTAAGTTTGGGGGAAGTCAGGAGATAGAGAATAAACTTAAAATTTCCACAGACCACTCTGTGGTGCTGTGGGTCAAACCCAGGGCCTTGCACGGGCTCGGCGAGCGCTCTACTGCTGAGCCTCAACCCCAGCCCTTGGTGTTAGGTTTTCAGTTCTCTTTCCTTTTCTCCTCAGGCCTGCAGCTTTTCTATGGCAAGAAGCAGCCAGGAAAAGGAAGAGAGCAAAATCCAAGACAACAGAATGAATTGAGGAGGGAAGAGACCAAAGCTGAGGTAATCAGAGAGGGAGGGGTTTAGATATTCAGACAGACAGACAGACAGACTTTGCTGCATACATTATGCTTAAAGAACTTTTGTTTCTGAAGGCTCTGACTCTTTCATTTCCATACCAGGCTCCTCTGTTAACTCAGACTCGACTTATCACCCAGAATGCTCTGCATAGAGCTCCCCACTATAACAGTTGCTGCCGTCGGAAGTACAGGTCTGTGGGATGGGAAAGCCAGAAGTAGGGAGGACAGAAGAAAATAGATGGTTCTAAATTTATTGTTTTTTTTAAATGTATTCTGAGGAATACTGGTGTTTGACTTGGTTTGAATTGTTTTAGGGTTTTTTGCTTGCTTCTTTGTTTATGTAGTACTGGGGATTGAACCAGGGACACTACCTCTGAACTACATCCCCAATCCTTTTTTTTACTTATTTGTAAACAATTTTTAGATAGAACTGTGCATTGTGGCACATGCCTGTAATCCCAGCAATTTGGGAGGTTGAGGCAGGAGGATCATGAGTTCAGAGCCAATCTTAGCAACTTAGCAAGGCCCTAAGCAACTCAGCAATACCTTGTCTCTAATAAAATGTAAAAAAGAACTGGGGATGTGGCTTAGTGGTTAGAGGTAGGGTCTCACTAAGTTGCTGCGGCTGGCTTTGAACCTGTGATCCAGCCTCAACCTCTTGAATTGCTGGGATTACAGGCATATGCTAGCACACAAGGGCACTTAACCACTCAGTCACATTCCCAGTCCTTTTTATTTTTTATCTTGAGACAGGGTCTCCCTAAGTTACTGAACTTGTGGTCCTCCTGCCTCAGTCTCCCAAGTTGCTGGGATTACAGGCATGCACTACTACACCTTGCTAAATATAGTCTTTTTTTAAATTATTTTTTTATTTTTTAGTTTTTGGCGGACACAACATCTTTGTTTGTATGTGGTGCTGAGGATCGAACCCGGGCCTCACGCATGCTTGAGCCACATCCCCAGCCTCAATATACAGTCTTTTAAGATAAAAAGTTTAGGGCTGGGATTGTGGCTTAGTGTTAGAGCACTTGCCTAGCATGTGCGAGGCACTGGGTTCGAATTTCAGCACCACATATAAATAAAATAAAGATCCATTGACAACTAAAAATAGTAATGTCATTTAAAAAAAAAAAAGATTAAAAGTTTTAAAATGTTAAGCTAGCTTTTCCCAAATTCATGATTCCAAAATAATATTTATGAAAGATATTTACTTATTTATTTATTTATTTTTTAATATTTTATTTTTTAGTTTTCGGTGGACACAACATCTTTGTATGTGGTGCTGAGGATTGAACCCGGGCCGCACACATGCCAGGCGAGCGCGGTATCGCTTGAGCCACATCCCCAGCCCGAAAGATATTTATTGATATCTTGACGAACACTATTTAGAAAACATTGCTTTAAGAGGTTGGGAGTCATAGGATAGTTGGCCCTTTCCATTACTGCTTTTATAGGCTCTTATTTTTTTCTACCCAGATCAGAAGCCTCTGGTCCTTCTGTCTCCTGTTCCCCTTTGCCAACCCCAGAGGTCCAGCTCCAAAGTAAGAAGATCAATAGGGAACCTGAGCCAGAGGCTGGCCCACAGGCCAAGGAGAAAGCGACTGTCTCAACCCCTGCACCTATGAGCCCCACAAGAAGACGAGCCCTGGACCATTACCTCACACTCCGAAGGTGAATATGCTGAATTACTTTCCTCAGGTTTTCTGTTTTCTCTCTGACCTCTTTTTTCCCACAGTACTGAGAATTAAACCTAGGGTCTTTTCCATGCTAGGCTTGACCACCACACTCCCAAGATTCCTTTGTCTTTTTTTTTTTTTTTTTTTAAATAGTTGAACACAATATCTTTATTTTATTTATTTATTTTTATGTGGTGCTGAGGATTGAACCCGCGCCGCGCACATGCTAGGCGAGTGCTCTACCGCTGAGCCACAACCTCAGCCCTTTATCTTTTAATTTTTTTTTTTTTGTGGTACTCAGGATTGATCCCAGGACCTTCTGCATGTTGGATGAGCACTCTACCACTGAACTACATTTCCAGCCCCCTTTTTAACATTTTTTATTTTGAGACAGAGTCATGTTAAGTTGCCCAAACTGGCCTTGAATTTGTGATCCAAATAGCTAAGATTATAATAAAAGTGTACCACCACATGCTACCTGACCCTCCTTTTTTCAAACCTATCTAATATTTTTTCTTATTGCCACAAATTATATTACCTCCCTGACTAATTGTCTTTTCTCTGATGTTTCCAGCTCTGGATGGATCCCAGATGGACGAGGTCGATGGATAAAAGATGAAAATGTTGAGTTTGACTCTGATGAGGAGGAACCCCCTGACCTCCCTGTAGACTGAAACCATCTTTCCCCATTCATTTACAAATAAACTACAGTGGGCACTGGGAGCCTGACTTTCCTTGAGTTGAGTTTCCTTTTCTATATCAGGATTTCAGATCTGTTCATTCTCAACCTGGCCATTCCTTCTCTGCAATGTACACAGCTCCCCATACTTCTAATCCCTCCCCCACCTTCTACCAAAGTCATGCCAAGCGTCAGCTGCATGCAGCCCAATGCCCTATTAATAAGTCTGTCAGAAAGAGGTCTTTGCCCTTCATGTTGTCTGCCTCCTTCCCCACCTCCACTCAAAGTCCTTCCTAGATCAAATCAATGTAGGGTTGTGGGTAGACTGGGGGACTCTGGTCAAATCTGGAAACAGGATTGAGGCCAAATACTCTGTGAAAGTAGAAAGACTGAAGGTATTGGCAGGTTTGTGGGGAACACCAAAGGAGGAAGCTCCCCCACCTTCTCCTAGTAACCTGAAACTCTCTGCCTGCTGATCCCCAGAGTATAAATAATCCCCTGATGAACTGGCAGTAACCCTTGGGGGTTAGCGCCAAGATTCCCACCCAAAAGCCCAAGAAGCAGTCATGCAGGATGGACAAAAGGGCTTTTATTTACAGGAAGAGGGGAAATGAGAATTTACGTGTCCAGGGTTCCCAGCTCTAGTTGGTCAAGGGAAGGGTGGTCTTATCTCTTCTTTTGCTGGCGACCTGTAAACGAAAGAAAGCAAACACAAGCTTTTGTTCCATCTCCTGATTTTGGCAAGGGTACTCTTCTTTCCAGTTCCTTAGAATCATAAGATGGTAGTGTCTTAGGCCACCTGACATGCCCATGCCACATTAATAACGTAAGAAACTACACCAAATATTAGAATTATGGCTGGGCACAGTGGCACATGCCTGTAATCCTAGTGATTCAGGAGGCTGAGGCAGGAGGATCACAAGTTCATGTCCAGTCTCGACAACTTAGTGAGATCCTGTTTCATAAATAAAAAGGACCGAGGATGTAGTTCAGTGGTAGTGTACTCTGGAGTTTAAAAAAAAAAAATTGTCCAGCTTCCTTCTCACCTCTCTATGGGTATATATCCGGGGCAGAAGAACTTTCTATATACTTTCTCATCACTCATGGGATCTGAACTTCTCATATGAATATCTCTGGCAACAACCCAAGGTGTTTGTCACTAAGTCTGCTTTCAGGTGCATCAATCAGTTTCCACATTTCCTGTCTTCAGCTCACACGCACCATGTCTGCAATTACTTACGTAGTTCATTGTTCCGAGTCATGGCTTGGGCAGCCCGAGCTCGTGGCCCCTGTTGTGTAAAGTGGTAGCCAAAGCGAACGATAGAGGGACACTGCTCTAGCACGGTGGCCATTTCCATCTCCACTGCATCACCAGGCCACTGGCGCTGGAGGAGGAAGAGGTGAAAGCTGTCAGCCACCCTCTGGGTCATTCACCATCCCAGACCATCGATGCCTTTGGGAAGTCAAGGGGCTCGTTTCTCCAGGTGATGAAGAAAGGTGCTGACTTGGTTTCCCTCACAGAGAGGAACGAGAATTCCAACAAAATCAAGTGAGATAACTGCTCCAATGGTTGGCTCAGGGAGGAAACTCATTGGGTATTAGCTGAAGGTTAAGACCAAGGGAAAGGAATGCTGACCTGGTTGTCCACACGGAGCTCAGTGAGTGTGGCATTTTCCCGAACAGCCTTCAGCACAGCCATGAGTCCTGTGCTGCTAATGAAGTTGGATTCAATGTTCAGGCTCTGGAGACTACGGTTCTCGCGCAACATGTCAGCCACCGCCTAGGTAGTAGGAACTTGGGTTAAGATTAGGAGAGTTTCATAGATGACTGAGGAGAAAGAACGGGAGCAAGAAGGAAACAACTTTTTGAAGAGTCCTTGAGGAGCTGTAAGTGGGGTTAGAGGGAGACTGAAGTAAGTAGTAGGTAAAAATGGAAATTAAACACACAGTGGAGATGGAGTATGAGAAAGGACAGAGGCCTTTTGGAAAAATCATTTCAGGATTTCAGAGTTGCAAACCATAGGACTATTTGTCAGGGTCTCCATGAGATTTTTTTTTTTTTTTTTGTGGTGCTGGGGATTGAACCAGGGCCTTGGGCCTTGTGCATGCAGGGCAAGCACTCTACCAACTGAGCTAAATCACCCCCCATGAGGTCTGTCTGAAGAAAATACAATGAGCTGGGCATAGCAGCACATGCCTGTAATCCCAGCAGCTCTGGAAGCTGAGGCAGGAGAATCCCAAATTCAAAGCTAGCCTCAGAAACTTAGCAGGACCCTGTCTCAAAAAATAAAAGGGGCTGGGAATGTTGCTCAGTGGTAAAGCAATCCTGGATTCAATCCCTGGTGCCCCCCACCAAAAAAAGAAAGAAAATATGATGGGAATAGTACCCCTAGCCACTCCTTTATGACAGCCTTGCTCAGGGTTCATATCAAGGTGTGGGGAGAGGGCTGAGAATGTCAACTAGTCTTACATTGGCAATGGGATCACCACTCCTTGTGGCCACCAGACTGAAGCTCCGGACATAGGTGTTTGTCTTCATCGCCTCACACAGCTCACTTAGCATGGTTATTGGGATGTCCTATCAGAGGAGCATGAGAGATGATGGGCTAGGGACTCTCATATGTCAGCAGAGTTATCCCTATCTTACTGTTTGGAAGATGGACATCAAATACCTGTATATTATTGAGGTTCACCTCCTCCAGTTCCTTGTCATTGCTTCGAACCCTCTTTAGCATCTCCTCGATGTTTGTGGGGTTTGGGGGCTCATCTGGCACTGGCTTATACTTGTCAGGCTGTACCACACCTGATGGGTGACAGCAGGAAGGGAACCCCAACATGTCCCGCACAATCTCCCCATTGTTCTATCACTCAGGCACCATGTCCTCACCCAGATTCATCTATTTTAACCTTTGCCACGTTTTCTCTGATTCTGGGACTGCCTGCCCAGAGCCCTGGGGTGGGGGGCCATTTCCCCAACACACTCACTGCTAATGCCTTCAGTGTTGCAGATTTCTCCACTGCAGATGGCATCATAATATTGCTTGTTGCTCATCAGTGTGTACATGCCCAGAATTGCTAGAGAGGGGAAGTAAAGGAGGTGCAGGTGATGAGAAGGGGCCTGTTCCAAGCACGCCTCTCACCTTACTCTGCAGCAGCCTTTGTACATCCTAACCCCTTTCATTTTTCTTTTTCTTTTTCTTTTTTAATATTTATTTATTTTTTAGTTTTCGGTGGACACAACATCTTTATTTTATTTGTATGTGGTGCTGAGGATCGAACCCAGCGCCTCGCGCATGTCAGGCGAGCGCGCTACCGCTTGAGCCACACCCCCAGCCCCCCTTTCATTTTTCCATAGGGGTTTCCCACCCATCCTCAGTCCCCAGGTTCCCTTCTATAAATTGCCCAAGGCAGTGGTTTCTAAAACTTTGAGATAGGGCTTAGGGAAGTCCCCCTGAGGAACTATAAGAAGATGATGAGGGTCTGCAGAGAACCCCTGCTGATTTTAGCCAGAACATCTCCTTTTTTTTTTTTTTGCTTTTATAATCTCTGTAAAATTACTCTGGGATACTACCTTGTTAAATTAAAAATGAATGCATCTATAAGTAAACAACTAAGAAAAGTTAAAAAACCACTGCCTGAGGCTTTGACATCTCTGCCCAGTTCAGAATATAGACCTTTCCCACCTATAGGTGTCCTATCACAGCAAGGACACCCCTGCCCCTGACCCTCTGCCCTCCTCCAGTTCTCACCACTGCCCACCTGCTATATCACACATCTCAGCATCTGTGGCATGGGCCAGGGCCTCTTCCAGCTCAGGCTCTAGGGTGATCTGTTCCTGTGCTGGGATTTCTCTCTTAGGCTGAATATAGGGTTTCCCTGATGGGGAGATGAAGGATGGTTCAGGCCGAGGTCATTTCTCCCAAGATCCTGGCCTCCAGCTTCCTTCCTTTCTTCAGGAGGTATAATGCTGGGTTGCTAGGGGACACCAGAAAGTCTGAATCCTCTACAAGTTCAGGACCCCTGGATCCCCTGATCCCTGATGAAGACTTCGGAGTGCAAGCTGGCAGGCAGGTGTCAGGGCACCCTGGGCAGGTAGGAGTTGGAGGTGAGAGGGAAGTTGGAGGGGAGACTGAGAGAGCCATTGAATGTGTGGGAGGCATGGAAGTCAGGGTCCCCATACCCTTCTTCTCTCCTGTGAAGGGTACCAAGTCATCCCGCTCTTTGACTTCTAGTGCCTGTTGTTCCAGGTACTGCAAAAGGGCCTCTCGGTCCAGTGGCCCCGTTGGGCTCTTCTTTGTCTGGTCTCGTTGTCTTAATCCAGCTGGCAGGAGCATGTTCTGAGGGATGAGTTTTAGGAAACAAGTCAGGTACCCCTCTGGTGTACCTCTAGGGCTCCCTAAAACATCTCCAGATAGCTTTTCCCTGGCTCTCTTGGGACTCCAGGCCCTGTGGTTAGCTCTGGTCTCAGCCACCCGGGAGCCCAGCACCCTTCCCAGATGCTGGGGGACCACTCCTGGTGCTGTGCTGCAGCCCCTACCTCAGGGTCCATCTCCTGCAGCTCGCAGTCCAGCTGCTCTAGCTCCTCGGGGCTCAAGGTCCTGAGGATCTCATCTTCATCTATATCTCTGTATTTCTCCAGTTCCTTCTGATACGATGACATGGTGACCCCCACCCCTTCCCCACTGTGTGGCACTGAGAGCCTGGGGGGACATGGAAAAAGTAGTTGGACATGGAAAGACGGACATGGACACAGTATGGACATCAAGAGACAAGCGGGGGGTAGAACACTGGAGGTCAGAAATCTAGCAGGGTAGGGGAGGTGAGTCTGTTTAGAGTTAGAATTGGTGTCTCCTTCTTCAGCTTCTATCCAATTTGGATGGGGATCCCAGGATCCAAACTGGGTCTGTCCTCTCACCGTGTGACAGGGAAATCCTGGCAACACGCACCCCATACCCTCACCCATCAGGCCTGTTGCCTAGCACAGCTGCTGGGAGCTCTGCCAGCACAGCTGGAGTCATGCCCAGTCCCCACTGAAAGGTGTGTGTATGGGGGTGGGGTGCACAGAGGACTTCGGGGAAATTTGTCCTCTCCTTACTATTACTCAGTCTGTTTTACTAAACCGGCTAAGGAAAACAAGGAGGGCTGGTGGGGGAGGGAGGCGAACTTTTTTATCCCACCCGTATTTCCTCTTTTATGTGGAGAGATCAAGATTTCACTTTACCTCTTTGCTAAAATTCTGAATCCTTAGGGAAAGCAACGACTCAGAAGCTAGGGGACTTCCAAGTTGGGGGAAGGGCAGTACGGCCTCAGGAGAAGGGACTGAGTCCCCATATCTGTCACCAGGAAGGTGACACCAGACCAATGGGTGAGAAATGCCTTTTAAATGGAGTAAAGTCTCTCTTAAAACTGTGGAAAGATTAAACTCACATGATCTTTTACAATGTAAAGACATACACAAACCACACATACACACCCTGCTGCTAAGGTAAAAGACCCAAAACGTGTGTGAGACACTTATACCGACAACATAAATGACACAGTTAAGGAACAGGGTGGTGGCAGAGACAAACACTGAGTGACAGAGACATACTCATGTTGTTTAAGAGCTACTCTTCTTCTCCTATCTCCCACCAGGTTCTCAACTATAAGCCCCCTGCTGTCCCCACTTACCAGTCCTGATGGCCACCTCCTTCTCACCTCCCCTTCTGTCACTAGTTCTGTTCTACTGGGGCACTGCTCCGGCAGCAGGAGGAGCCTGGTGCCCTGCCGGGGGAAAGGGTGGGGGAACAGTGAGATCAGCATTTTATTATTTTAGCTCTGGCCAGGTGGGGGGTAGTGGGAGATCACATATACACAGCCCCCATACCCTGCCCAGCCCTGAGAGCCTCTAGTGGCCATGAATAGCCATGGCACCTCTGCCTCTTCTCTTCATAAAAGCCCAGTCCTGGAGTCAAGTTCATGAGAATCAGATGGTTTCTACTATTTGATGTTTGTTACATTTAAAGCAGTAAATACAAGGTCAATGTGCTGGTTTCGGTGGTACAGCCTGTAATCCCAGTGACTCAGGAGGCTGTGGCAGGAGGATCTCGAGTTCAAAGCCAGCCTCAGCAACTTAGGGAGGGCCCCATGCAACTCAGTGAGACCCTGTCTCTAAATAAAATACAAAAAAGGGCTGGGGATGAGGTTCAGTGGTAAGCCCCTTCTCCCACAAAAATGTTGGCAGATGTAAGGCTTTTGTTTTGGTATCTATTTTTTTAAAAATATTTTTGTAGTTGTACAGCATGCCTTTATTTTATGTGTTTATTTTTATGTGGTGCTGAGGATCGAACTCGGTGCTTCACATGTGCAAGGCAAGCGCTCTGCCACTAAGCTACAGCCCCAGCCCCTTGGTATCTAATTTTAAGGTGTTTGTAATCTAGTTGGAGGAATGAATACAATCAAAAAAGGACAGGGGCTGTGGCTGTGGCTGAGCAGTAGCGCACTTGCCTGGCATGGGTGAGGTACTGGGTTCAATTCTCAGCACCGTGTGTAAATAAATAAAATAAAGGTCTATCAACAACTTCAAAAATATTAAAAACAAAAAAACCAAGCTGAGTATGGTGCACACACCTGTAGTCTGTTACTCAGGAGGCTGAGGTGCAAGGCCTGCTTAAGCCCAGGAGTTTGAGATCAGCCTAGGACACACAGCAAGAACCCGTGTCAGAAAAAAAACAAGAGATACAAAGGACAGCACATAATAAATGTTATCAAACAAACACAAAGACCCAAATAGACTCAGACATTCACAAATACTTCTTGTCCCAATTGTAGAATAGACACCAAACAAGAAGGATCTTTCCATTTTATTATATTAAAAAACCACAACAAAATGAACAAGGAACTGGGGGAAAGATGGGGAAAGACATATAGAGGAATGGGCAATCAGAGATATTAAGGGCAGAAGTAGAGAGAGAGGGAAGATCAAGAGCCCCATTTTCAGGCAGGAAAGAGTTTGCTAAGGACTAGACATTTCTTCATTTGATGACAATTTTCTGGCGCAAGGCTCGGGGCCCAGAGCCAGGGAGGGGCTCAGGAGGTGGGGGGCCAGGGCCCAGGGCTGAGGCAGTAGGAGGCAGTCCATGGGCAGTGATGTACTTCTTGTAGGCCTCACGGATGATCTTGAAGGCTCGAGCAGTGGCATAGGGGATGTCTGTAACAGGATCCCGGTACAGAGCTGGACGATGGGTCACTGGGCAGACCTCCCGAACAGGGATCTTTGGGGGCCGACCTTGGGGGAACCATTCCTCAAATGTCGCATCATCACTGAATGTGATGAAGGTACGCGAGCAGCGAGCAGGTGGGATGACAGGTCCAGTCCCAGCATGGGGAGCCAATGAGGAGGCTGCGGGAGCAGGATCAAGTCTGAGGACAAAAGACAGGGAGAAAACACAAGAGCTGAGGGGAAACAGAGTCAGAAGGGAAGAAATCAGATGAGGAAAGAGGAAAAACGGGAGTGGTGGGCATCCTGAGAGAACCTCCTAGATGATGGTAGCTGGGAAGAAATGTGAGGCTAGAAAGAAAGACAGGAAAGAGAGAAGAGAGGCTGAAAGAAAGGAGCTGAAGGGAGGCAGATTCTGAAAGGTGCAAGTCAGGGAGGCTGTGAGGAAAGCGGCGAGCTCAGCAGGCTGGCCCACTTACCCTTCGACATCCACATTCTCCTCCTTGGGGCCCAGCTCCCCGATAAGTGGCACCGTCATCGAATGATAGGTGATTATAGGCCCAGGGCACTTCCGTTTCTTGTGAACCTGTTTCTTTTTGTCAGCCTCCAGTCGCTCATATGTCTCTTCAGTGTCACCGGCAGAAATGAAAAGATGGTCACTCTTCCCTTTCCCACACTCAATTCTGTTCCATAATCTCTCAATTATCTATCTCTCTGGCCACTCCTACGGCTCCCTAACACCTCCCACTTCAGGAGTTTTCTTCTTACCCCTCTTCACATCCTCCCTACCCCTCCTTTCTCAAGTAACTTGGGTTCTCAAGCACTCAGCACTGAAGAACCTCAAGCTGAAAGAGACTCTGTGACAAGGCGCCGGTTCCTTTTCCTGGGTGCTGGACTCTCCTCTATGAATACGCTGTCAACTACGCTGCTCCTGGCCAAGAAATGGATTACACTCTTTCCTCCCCAGGCTAATCATAATACCCACTCCACTAAACCACTCCTCATACCACAGTTTTGATTCATTACCTCAATCCCCCTGTATCTAGTACATTCTTTTGTATTTAATTATTTTTGTGATATTAGGGGTTGAACCCAAGAACCCTCTACCATGGAGCTACATCCTCAATCCCCACATCTTTTTTTTTTTTTAAGAGAGAGAGAATCTTTTTTTTAATATATATTTTTTAGTTCTCGGCGGACACAACATCTTTGTTTGTATGTGGTGCTGAGGATCAAACCTTGGCTGCACGCATGCCAGGTGAGCGCGCTACCGCCCAAGCCACATCCCCAGCCCCCCATCTTTTTTTTTTTTTGAGACAGGGTCTCGCTAAGCTGTCAAGGCTGACCTTGAACATATAATCCTCTTGTCTCAGCCTCCAGGTCAATGGAATTACAGATGTGTGTCATTGCACCCCTAGTACACTCTTCTATTACTGTACCTATTACAGACTTTGGCAGAGGCTGCAAGCTGGCAGACCATTAGGTGTTTGATACTGGGGATTAAACACATGGGCACTCTCAACCACTGAGTCACATCCCCAGCCCTATCTCACTAGGCATCATTGCTTGGCATCTTACCATTGCTGAGGCTGGCTTTTAACTCTAGATCCTCCTACCTCAGCTTCCCGAGACACTGGCTGAGGCATGTGCCACTGTGCCCATCTGATCTGCAGTGTTTTAAAGAAAAACTGGAACTAGGTAGGCAAGGGGGTGTACACCTATAATCCTAGCAACTCAGGAGCCTGAAGCAGGGGATTGAATGTTCAAGGCCAGCTTTGGTAATTTACTGAGACACTCTCAAAATATAAAATGGCTGAATGTAGTGGCCCATACCTGTAATCCCAGTGACTTTGGAGGCTGAGGTAGGAGAATCACAAGTTTGAGGCCAGCCTCAGCAAATAAAAAGGGTTTAGATATAGTTTGGTGGTAAAGCACTGCTGGATTCAATCCCTATACCAAAAATAAATAAATAGGGCTGATGTGTAGCTCAGTGGTAGAGTACCCCTGGGTTCAATCAGTACTGGGGATGTGGCTCAGTGGTAGAACACTTGCCTAGCACTCATGAGGCACTGGTTTTGATCCTTAGCAACACATAAGTAAATAAAATAAAGGTATTGTGTCCATCTACAACTAAAAAAACAAAAACAAAAACAAAAATTGGAACTGTTGACATTTAGAAATTGGGAAATGATATTTAAATATAGATTTCTGGTTCCTTTTTAATTTTTATTTATTTATTTATTTTTTTAAAGAGAAATTTTTTTTTAATATTTATTTTTAGTTTTCGGCAGACACAACATCTTTGTATGTGGTGCTGAGGATCGAACCTGGGCCGCACGCATGCCAGGCGAGCGCGCTACCCCTTGAGCCATATCCCCAGCCCTCTGGTTCCTTTTTTAAAAAACAAAGAAGCCAGTTGCAATGGTTCATGCCTGTAATTCCAGCAACCTGGGAAGCTGAGGCAAGAGGATCGCAAGTTCAAAGCTAGCTTCCATAACTTAGCAAGGCCCTAAGGAACTCAGCAAGACCCTTGTCTCAATATAGTAAAATTTTAAAAAGGGGTGGAGCTAGGAATGTGACTCAGTGGTTAAAAGCCCCTGGGTTTAATCCTGGTATTGAAAAAACAAAACAAAGAAACAAGCACACACACAAAAAAGGGGGGGGGGGAGTATAGTGTGGTGGTGCATGCCTGAAACTCCAGCTACTCAGGAGGCTGAGACAGGATTACAAGTTTGAGGCCAGTCTCAACAATTTATCAAGATCCTCAACATCTTACTGAGACCCTGTCTCAAAATATAAGGGGTGGGGGATGTGGCTCAGTGGTAGTGTCCTGGCTTCAATCTCTGGTACAAAAGAAAAAGAAAGGCAGGCAACCTGGCAACCCTGAGTTCACGTTCTCACTGGGAAGCAATCAGGCAGACTATTCCTCCCTAAGCCACCTCAGTCCTTGCGCTGGCTGTACTTTGTGTCACCTACCTGGACCCCATGACCCTGCTCTATGGTAATTCACAGTTGGTACATGTCTCCTCCTTACAGGCAGTGAGTGTGATCCACATTACCTACGTGTCATCAGCGTCAGGAAGCATTCCACACATTATAGGCCCTCAAAAGTATTTGTTAATGAATAAATAAAAATACTCCTGTTCCCTCTCTTCTGAATGAACTCCACATTTCTGTGTCCTTCTTGTATGTGGGAACTGTGAACAGAATTCTCTAACGTCTGACCATGAAAGGAGTGCTCTGGAAACCTCTTCAGTGACTGAAATGCTCTTTTACTTGAACTCTGGTAATATTGCTTCTTCTACTTTGACCCAAACTTTCAATCCCTTGCCTTCTTTCCAAGGCATCCCTCTGTTCTGTGGACCTCTTGCTCTATTATCAGCCAACTCACCCATATCCTCAGCTCCTCACTCAGCATTCCTTACACAATTTGCTTTACTGGAAACCTGGTCATCCACTGAGGCCACTGCTCTCCCTGCAGCCTTCTGGTGGAGGCTGCTCATTCTCTCATGTCCCACGTAGGACACACCTGTATCCTACTGAGCTCTACAATGCAGATGCAGGGTTTAGATCACTTTTCTTCCACCTACCTGCAGACCCTTCTCTTTTGAGACCAGTACCAAAGTCTACAATAATTTCTCTAAGTCACAGTCATTCTCTTATGAAGGACTTCGGCAGGAGTTTCCACTCTTCTCCACTCCAACTCCTATCATCTTAGGTTATCCTGATGATTTCAAAGCCTGGAGTCTTGATATCACTCATGGTTGATGATACTTCTCAATCATCAGATGTTTTGAGGGCACCTACTCTTTTAAAAGTACTGGACTATTATCATATGTTTATAATTATATATCCTAATTAAAGCCAATATAATTACTATTTATCATTATTATTATTTATTATTCTTTTGGATGTGTGTGGTACTGGGGATTGAACCCAGGGGCCTCTACCACTGAGCCACATCTCCAGCTTTTTTTTTTTAAAGACAAGCTACGCTTTGTTGGTTTGAGGTTGGCCTCAAACTTGGGATCCTCCTTAATTAGCCTCCCAGGTAGCTGGGATTACAAGTATGTGCCACAGCATGCAGTTTAGAATGAAAAATTTTTTAAAAGTTATGAAGCTGGGCATGGTGGTACATGACTGTACTCCCAGCTACTTGGGAAGCTGAAGCAGGAGTATCCCAATTTTGAGGCCAGCTTGGGCAACTCAGAAGGACGGTCTCAAAAAATAGAAAGGGCTGGGAATATGAATGCAGCTGAATGGTAGAGTGCCCCTGGGTTCCATCCCAGTACCATAGGGCGGGGAAAAGATCCATGAAAATACATTCTGAAGATGTTAGGGCTGAACTAAACCTTTTCTCAATCATTGTGTTCTTTTGGAGTCAAGTTGTCTAAATTTCATAACTATTGTTAAACTAGGATGGCTTCGATACAAAGTGGTTAGGGTAAATAATCTTCCACTCCACAGCAGAATTATATTTGACTTATTTTTGATCAACTATATATATCCTTGGTCAAAAAACAGAGAAAGAGCTGGGGATGCAATCAGTGGTAGGGCACTTGCCCAGCATGTCTGAGGCCCTGAGTTTGATCCACAGCACTGAAACAATAAAACAAAACAAAAAATCCCCCCAAACAACAACAACAACAACAACAACAAAAAACACCATAAGGAAGAGATTCAGGAAGAGAAATAAATACCGAAGGTGATTCTACTTGCGTTTTCACTCAATAAAAGTATATCTCAAAAAAACATACAATGGGAGGTAAGAATCTGCTGTTTGCTCTATCTCTCATTTACCTCTCATGATTTGAGACTATTTTGCAAAAGGAATTCATAATTTTAGACTGGGTACAGTAGCTGGGTACTCCTGTAGTCCTATCTACTTGGCAGGCTGAGGCAGGAAGACTACAAGTTCAAGACCAGCCTGGGCAGTTTAGACCCTGTCTCAAATAAAAAATAAGAAGGGGATTTAGCTCAGTGGTCTAGCACCCTACCCCCCACATCAACTGAAGATATTTTTAAGAATATGTACAGTAAAGCAATTTATCTCATGAAAGGACTAACCCTTGGGGCTGGGGATGTGGCTCAAGCGGTAGCGCGCTCGCCTGGCATGCGTGCGGCCCGGGTTCGATCCTCAGCACCACATACAAACAAAGATGTTGTGTGCGCCGAAAACTAAAAAATAAATAAATATTAAAATTCTAAAAAAAAAAAAAAAAAGACTAACCCTGATTTTCCATTCTCATGATTATCATTAAAGAGGCATTATTATTATTATCCCATTTTGTGAACAAAGATAGCAAGCAAGATGGTGGCTGGTGTGGTGGTGCACACCTGTTACTCCAGCTACTTGGGAAGCTTAAGGCAGGACAGTCACAAGTTCAAGGCCAATCTGGGCAACTTAGCAAGACCCTGTCTCAAAATTGAAAAAAAAAAAAAGGGCCAGGGATATAGCTCAGTGGTAGAGTGCCTCTGGGTTCAATCTCCAGTACTACTTGTTTATTTTTTTTAGTTATACATGGACTGAGGATTGAACCAAGTGTCTCACATGTACAAGGCAAGTGCTCTGCCACTGAGCCATAACCCCAGCCCTCTAGTACTACTTAAAATAAACAGTTAAATAAATAAAAGCAAATAAGATGAAGAAGTAATTTGCCTGCAATCTTAATACAAGTGAATAGTGGAACTATTTGGTATGGTTCATGGGATCAAATCCAGGAGCTCTAGCATGCTAGGCAAATGTTTTACCAGTGACCTACATTCCCAATCCCTAGAACTAGAATTTAATTCTATACAATTTTTATTTTTTATAAAAATACCTAAATGTACCTTATTCTTCAGAGCCCACATAACTGCATTTTCCCTTGCTCTTAAATACCTATTCTTATTTATGTCTTCTGATTCCTTTGTCCCAAATCTGTCTCTCTACAGTTCTCTGGTCCTCCAGGTCTCAAAAGTTTTTCTTATGCTCCTCAGCCTATCTCTACCTATTTTCCCTGAAACTACAGACTGACCCAATGAACGTAAGTTGAGCTCTTCTGTGATCTTGGCCTCTCTGAGCAGCTCTTCTTGGGTCAGTGGTCTCTCACAGTGGGGCCCCTTACGCCGCCGGGACTGGCCCTGTCTTTCCTGTACCCGAAGAAATGTTTGTCGTGTATGTTCAGCTGTAGATTGGCGCATGGACTTCCGACCTGGAAAAAGTCAGATGGGAAGAAATCTTTTGAAGTCACGTCTACCTTCTTTGTTTATTTACATATTTTTAAATTTTTTACTTGGATATAATTTCAAACTTACAAAAAAATTGTAAGAACTGTACAAACAACACCCATGTATCTCCTTAATTTACATTACCTACTGTTAGTATTTTGCCCCATTTTATTCTAATTTCATTCTCTGTGTGTGTTTTCTCTAAATGATCTGAAAATTAAGCTGTACATATCATGGGCTTTATTCCTAAAAATAGTGTGTATTTCCTAAAAAAAAAAAAAAAAAAAAAAAAAAAGGATTTTTCTTACATGACAGTATGCTTATCAACTTCAGTAAACTTAACACTGATAAAATAATTCATCATCACATTCTAATTTTGTCTATTGAAAATTTCCATACTCACTGTCAGAGCCATCATCCTGTAGTTCAAGTGGCAACAGCGCCTTCTCTTCTCGGGCCTTCTGAGAGCTACCAGCTGGGGTGCTAACCTTTCGAGGTCTCAAGCTCTTTAGAGGCTCCTGGACACAGATTACAATTAGATACCAGAGAACAAAGAGATAAGGAGAAAGATGAGGATCTTAATAGACAAACTAGCGTTGTAGAAAATGGGACCGGTGTGGGGAGCACTGGGACCCAATGATGGAGAGAAGAGGGATTATGAAGGTCCAAAAAACCCAAGATTCCTCCTGTACCTTATAGGCTTTAGTGACTACTCGGCGCTTCCTTCTTGGCTCTTCTGTTTCTCCATCACTGGATGGTTCATCCCCTTCATCAATATCAAAGTCAGAGTCCACCTCATCCTCTGTGTCTGACTGGTCCCCTTGATACTCATCATCTCCAGATTCCTGAGAACACAATGAGAGTGGCTGGCAATAGACTTATTCATATCCCTTCATAAAAAAGAGAATTTCTGGGGCTGGGGATGTGGTTCAAGTGATAGTGCGCTCACCTAGCATTCGTGAGGAACTGGGTTAGATTCTCAGCACCATATAAAAACAAAATAAAGACATTGTGTTCATCTAAAACTAAAAAATGAATTAAAAAAAAAAAAGAACAGAATTCCTTGGGCTGGGGCTGCAGCTCAGTGGTAGAGTGTTTACTTAGCATGTGTGAGGCACTGGGTTCCATCCTCAGCACCACATAAAAAAATAAACAAATAAAATAAAGGCATTCTGCCATCTATGACTAAAAAAAAAAAAAATGTGGTTTGGTCTCTACCTACAAGAGTCTAATAGTCTAGCTGAGCACAGTGGCACACGGCTAAAATCCCAGTGGCTTGGGAGGCCAAGGCAGGAAAACCACGAGTTCAAAGCCAGCCTTAGCAATTTAGCGAGGCCCTAAGTAACTTAGTGAGACCCTGTCTCAAAATAAAAAAAAGAAGGGGCTGGGGTTATGGCTCAGTGGTTAAATGCCCCTGGGTTCAATCCCTGGTACCTCTCTTCCCCCAAAAAAATAGTCCCATAGTCCAGTGAAGTACAGGACATCGTCATAATTTTTTTTTTTTTTGAGAGAGAGAGAGAATTTTTTTAATATTTATTTTTTAGTTTTCGGTGGACACAACATCTTTGTTTGTATGTGGTGCTGAGGATCGAACCCGGGCCGCACGCATGCGAGGCGAGCGCGCTACTGCTTGAGCCACATCCCCAGCCCATAAAAAAAATATTTTTTGATTACACTAAGTTATTATAGTGAAAGGATATGGATTAAAACCAGCAAAGACAAAAGATGCATAGAGCAGAGTCCAATTTTCCTCTTCCACTAATTCTGCCAGTATCAATGTGTAATAACTTGTACCTAATACTGCCAAACAAAGGGGCTCACCCAGGTTTTGTGTTCAGGATTTTTATTTGGGTGGGAGTCTCTGTCACTGTGTGGCTTCTCAGTTACTCAGATTTTGGCCCCTCCCAATAAAAACATTTTAATACAAAGCAACATAAAGTACCAAATGGCAATACAATGTTATAGATCAAAGAAGACTGGTGGTCCAAATCTAACCTTTAGAGTTCAATCCTTTAAACCAGAGATCAGAACACTTTTTCTGTAAAGGGCCAGATAGGGAATGGGTCAGTTTGGAATAAAACTTGTAGTTTACTGACCCATGATTTTGTTTTATTTTTTGTGGATGTTGGGAATTGAACCCAAGGTTTTGCACATGCCAGGCAAGCACCCTACCACTAGGTCACATCCCCTGCCCCTGAACCTTGATTTAGACTATAAAGGATGAAAAGAACTTGAGTCATAGTTTAAAATAGTATTTAGACAGCCAAGAGGGAAGAGGGATTCACAGGCATGTGGAAAGACGGAAAAAGGTTCAGAAGCAGGAATGTACATAGAGTGCTTACAGAATAAAGATTTTTTTTTTTTGGGGGGGGGTACCAGGGATTGAACCCAGAGGTGCTTACACCCTGAGCCACATCCCCAGCTCTTTTTTGTATTTTATTTAGAGACAGGGTCTCTCTCACTGAATTGCTTGGGGCCTTGCTAAATTGCTGAGGCCGACCTAGAACTCAAAATTCTGTTGCAGTACCCTCCCCAAGCTGCTGGGATTATAGGAACATGCCACTGTGCCTGGCAGAATAAGGATTTAGACCCAAGTAAGCCAGGTTTATCTCTGGCAAGAAACCTTAGCTGGTTGCTTTGGCTCTAGCATGACCTCCTTCCAACAGTGATTGCCCTATAAAATTTCAAATTAGGTCTATGGAGAAAATTAAATGTCAAGCTAATAACTATGATTTAAACCTGCAGCTTACTGACTTTTCCCTCTCCTTACCTATAGCAGTATTGATAATCATTGTTGAAATCAACTAAATTTTCTGAAAAAAAAATGTATTATTCCTCAGGTGTATTGGGATGGAAAAATATTTGGGTATTATTATCAATAATGGGAAGCCACTGAAGATTTAGGGGCGTGTATAAGAGATGTTCCAGAAAGCTCTGAGGGTTAGTTAGATGTGCTGTAAAAGCTAGAAAATCTGAAGTACAGCCTAGGCCTGAGGTGATACAGGTTAAGGCTAGAATGGTAGTCACTCTGGAAAGAAAGGGGGGGAAAGTCACTTAAGGGGAGTCAACTGGGACAAGTGCAGTGACACACACCTATAAAAAATATGTATTATTCCTGTAATCCCAGTGACTCAGGCACTGAAGCAGGAGGATTGCAAGTTCAAGGCCAGCCTCAGCAATTTGGGAAGATCCTGTCTCAAAATGAAAAAAAATGTAAAAGGGCTGGGGAAGTGGCTCAGTGGTTAAGTGGCCCCAGTACAAAAGAAATAAAGTGGGGGGGGGGGGTCGACTGGGTTGAAACCACTCAAACATGTGGATCTCCCTTCAATCAGTGATGCAGATTGTTCTTATCTTGATACACAGGTTGCAAAGCAAGCACATAACACAGATGGTTGACACTCTATACCAGCCAGAGTTCAATCCTGCACTGATGACCATCATTTCCTCCAAACTGATGTTTGTGAAAGACAGCCTAGGAACACATTAATCCCCTCAGCTCTTAATCTAGTATTAAGCCATATCACCACAGGGTAGCTCAACTTCCCATTAGAAATGTTTTCATTAAATTATGGATTTACTACCATTCATTTAGCATTTATCAAGAGTCATTGACAGACATGGCTAGTTAAGGCAGTGTTTTTATATCATCTACCAACCCCATTACTTTATATATATCTTATATAAGGATGCAATGATAAATTCTCCTTCATGCTGAATAAGGTTGTCTTTCTTGAAGTACTTGTATGCCTCTTTCTTACTAAAAAAAAGAAATTCAGACTTTGGCTGCCAGGAAGCTCACAGCTAAATTTAATGTCAATTGCTATTACCATTTTAGCATAGGCTCCTGGTACAATTACTTCTGACCTGTCTCTATTTTTGCTGTTCTTACTTTTTGTTTATAAGCCTCCTTAAATCCTTTTTGGAAGCTTAAAGGGTACATATTAAATAACGACTCGTAAAACGACAGGAATAGGAAAACAGGCCTTGGAGGAGAGATGAGAATGTTCTATTTTAAACTATTTGATTAGTGCTATATCAGTAATGACTCCCAGTTACTAAGTCCTGGGGATTCTATTTTCTTAATTTCTCTTGAACACTACTGTCCATGTAACATTTTCCCCTCTCTGGTGCTGGGGATCCAACTCAGGGCCTCAGACATGCTAGGAAAGTGCTCTACGAAAGCTATACCCTCTGCCCCTGTCACATGGTTTCTGTACCAGGGAATGAACCCAGGGGCACTTAATCAAGAGCCACATATTAAGCCCTTTTATTTTTGAGACAAGAGTCTCACTAAATTGCTTAGCGCCTTGTTGAGGCTGGCCTTGAACTTAGAATCATCCGGCGCTCAGATTATAGGCTTGCACAATTACGCCCAATATTTCCATGGTTTCTCTACTTTCACTGCCCCCTTAAGATTATTTTCCTCATTACATAATCATTCCTCACTCCCAGTATTAGGGAACTCAAGGTGCTTTACCACTGAGCCACATCCCCACTCCTTTTTTTTTTCTAATTTTTAAAAAATTTTTAGTTGTAGATAGACACAATAACTTTACTCTTACGTGGTACTGAGGATTGATCCCAGTGCCTCACACACGCTAGGCAGGCACTCTACCACTTAGCTACAACCTCAGTACCCCCAGCCCTTACTGAGACAGGGCCTCACTAAATTGCTAAGGCTGGCTTTTTTTTTGGTATCAGGATTGAACTCAGGGGCACCTGACCATTGAGCCACATGCCCAGCCCTATTGTGTATTTTATTTAGAGACAGAGTCTGAGTTGCTTAGCACCTCGCTTTTGCTGAGGCTGGCTTTGAACTCGCCATCCTCCTGCCTCAGCTTCCCAAACTGCTGGGATTACAGGAGTGTGCCACTGTGCCTGGCTCTAAGGCTGGCTTTGAACTTGTGATTCTCCTGCCTCAGTCTTCAGAGCCACTTAGATTACAGGTGTGCATTTATAGAACTTTAATGACTCTTCTCAGTCCTCCAAGTAAAGAGCAAACTCCTTAACACAGCTCACAAGGCCCTACATAATCTGACCCAGGCCTTATTAATTACTATTCTACCCTTTAGCATTACTAATTACTATTCTCGGGCTGGGGATGTGGCTCAAGCGGTAGTGCGCTCGCCTGGCATGCGTGCGGCCCGGGTTCAATCCTCAGCACCACATACAAACAAAGATGTTGTGTCCGCTGAAAACTGAAAAATAAATATTAAAAATTCTCTCTCTCTCTCACTCTCTCTTAAAAAAAAAATAACAATAATTACTATTCTCCTGGAAAATGAAAGTAGAACTTACCAGGATCTCCATACCTTTATACATTCTACCCCACTTCTTTCTGTGGACAACCCCACTGCCCCCACTCCCACACTTCTTATCCAGCCAAGGCCTACTTCTAGACTGTTTTCAGCTGAAACGTCATCTCCTTGGGGATGCCTATCCCCACCAAGACCCTGGCACCTACAAGTTATTACAGCATCCTATGCTTACCTCTTGTTTCAGTCCTTATCACGTGGTATTTTAATTGGCTGTGAAGCTAGTCAGTTCCCCCACTGGGGTCTGCGATATTTAACAGATCACCAGGGTTTCTGGCATGCTAGGCAAGTGCTCTTTTTTTTGGTGGGGGCATTTTACCATTGAGCTACATTCCCAATCCTTTTTACCTTTTTATTTTTAGACAGAGTCTAACTAAGTTGCTTAGGACCTGGCTAAATTGCTGAAGATAGCCTTCAACTTGTGATCCCCCTGCCTCAGCCTCTTGGGATTATAGGCATGTGCCACCACTACACCCTAATTGGCAAGTGCTCTACCACTAAGGCATACTCCCAACCCCAGGGCAGTGTTTATTTATGTATGTATGTGACTGTGTACGTATTTGGGAATGAACCCAGGGGTACTCTACCCTTGAGGTATTCCTAGCAGCCCTTCCCACTTTATTTTTTGGTACCAGGGATTAAACTCATGGGTGCTTATCCATTGAGCAACATCCCCAGCCCCTTTTTTAAAAAATACATATTTTTAGCTGTATATGGACACAATACCTTTTATTTATTTAATTTTATGTGGTGCTAAGGATAGAACCCAGTGCCTCACAAGTGCTCTGGATTCGCTCTACCACTGAGCTACAATCCCAGACCCTTTTTATATATTTTATTTAGAGAGGGGTCTTCCTGAGTTGCTTAGGGCCTCGCTAAATCGTTGAAGTTAGTTTTGAACTTGTGATCCTCCTGCTTCAGCCCCACCGTCTGGCTCTTCAGCCCTTTTTATTTTGAGAAGGGTCTCGCAAAGTTGCAGAGGCTGGTCTCAAACTTGAGATCCTCCTGCCTCAATCTTCCGAGTCTGTGTGCCATTGTGCTTGGGCCGGTTGAATTGTTTAATACTGTCTCCCTGGAGCCTATGGCACGCTCTAGATGCTTGACACATATTTAATGACTAGAAAGACTTGGTCAATATATTTAACAAGTGTCAGCCCAGTCCAGACACTGATCTAGGCACTGTATGTATAACGGGGAACAAATCTAACTTTATAAAGTTTACAATCTAACGGAAAAGCAAAAACAAGTAAGCAAACCAAATCAAGTTTCAAATTTAAAATATGTTCTACTAAGGAAATGAAGAGGGACTCTTTTAGGATAGGTAAGGAAGGGTCATCTAAGAAAACATTTCCATAGAGACTTGAAAGCTGAAGAGGGGGTTATCGAGCCCGGCCCCTTTCCGGGGTCCCTCCCGGTCCGTCGGGCAGTGCACACTAGGGGCCTAACCTCGACGCGCCTGGGGTTCTGGACGTCCCAGTGCGCCGAGGCGCCACGACCGCGGGACGCCTGCGGAGGCCTCCTCCGTCCCGGACCCACCCCCGCGTCGAGGGCTGGCCTTTCTAGGCCTCCTTGACCCCGCCCCGCGCCCGCGTTTCCATCAGCTCTCAGGGGTCCTCTGGGTTCCCCGCCCCCTCCTCCTTTGTCCGGGGTCCCTTAGCTTCTTCCCTTCCCAGTTCCTAGGCCCGGCTCTTGCCTCAGTGAAACCTCCGTAAGTCGTCTGGTAGAACTCATCTTCTTCCTCTGCCTCCAGAAGCCCAGAAAGCCTGTTCCCAGCGGTCTTCCGGGGGGCCCGGCCCCCAGCCAAACTCATGTCGCCTAGCGAGACTGCGCGGCCACAAGGGCCCGCTCACCCAGCTCAGTTCCTGGAGCTCGGCGCTCGACACTACTACCTGCGGGCGGCCGCCCACGACGGAAGTCGGGCGTCTGCAGGCAGATGCAGCAGAGCGTCGAGTGCACCCCCCCCCCCCCCAGTCCCGCCTCTAAACCATTTTTACTCATCAGCTCCACCCACTCTAGCGAAGAGCTTCCAAGGCCTCTGACCTGGCTTGCTTAGTGACACCAGGACCCTCGCTACCCTACGTCTAGTTTGTTGTTGTTGTTTTTGTACTGGGGATTGAACCCTCCAGCGCGCCCCCCTCTTTTTTTAAATTTTATTTTTGATTTTAAGAGGTCGGTCTTCCTCTGCTGCAGCCTGTTGTTCATTTTGCCAGTTGGAATCTTTATAAAAACTCAGACTTTGTCACTCCTCTCTTTGAAAAATTTTAATGTCTCCCCATCATCTACAGGATAAGCAGAAAGCACAGTATTATGGTTCAGTACACAGCCTTAGAACTAGACAGACCAGTTTGCGTCTGAGCTGGAAGGTTTTCTACCTATGTGACTGTACAAATAGTTTTACTTCTCTGAATATATTTTCTCATCTGCAAAATGAGACTGTTACTGTGTGAGTGAGAATTAACAGACCACCACACTTATCGAGCCAAACTGAAAGGGGAAAAAAAAGCCCTTTAAATCAGAAAGTCAGGTAAGCGACTGGGAACAGGTGTCGCCTCTAGAACTCGCAGCACTTGAATTTTGGAAGCATAGAGTTTATAAAGGGAAAAACCACAAGGACAGTTGAGCCAGATGTACGTGGGAAAGACCTTGTTGAGACAGATATTTTGATTACATGTGAGAATTGGTTTTTTAAAATATTTATTTTTTTAGTTGTAGTTGGACACAATACCTTTATTTCACTTATTTATTTTTATGTGGTGCTGAGGATCGAACCCAGGGTCTTGCACGTGCGAGGTGAGTGCTCTACCCCTGAGCCACAGCCCCAGCCGGAGAATTGTTTTGATTATACATTTCATAGTTATTTTTGTTATACGTCAGGGCCGTGGGAAGATACTAATGTATTGTTAACATAGATACAGCTGTCAGGAGGCTGAAAAGAAAACATTTTAAGCAAGCATAAAATGGAGTAAGGTCAGAATAAAATGGCATTACTGTGGTTCTTTTGCATTTCAGGACTAATAATAATATCTACCTTTTAAAGATTATTGAAAAGATTAAGAGATATAATCCTTGTAAAGTCTTTAGCACGGTGTTTAGTAAAGACATAATAAACGTTTCGTAGAAGATAACTACTATTAGCATGACATTTAAGATCCTTCATAATTTAGCCTCTCCCTGTCTTTCTAACCTCACCTCCTGCCTCATCATCCTATTTAAGCATTATTTCCCTATCACCCAATTCATCATCCCTGGATGATGACCTGGAGGTTTTTCTCCTAGAAATCCTTTCCTTTTTGTCTGGCATAATTTTAATTTTATAGTAGAGTGAAGTCTTCCTGAACACTCATTCCTCTCTTTCCAGGCAGTTTCCATAGCCATGGAAATCATGCCTCCTAGGGAAGGCATGATTTTGGAATTGTTTCAATCTCAAATAGACTGTGGTATTTATCAAGACACTGTGTCACTTCTGTTCTCATTTTTTATTCTGAATATATGCCTGTAAAACCATAGCACTTGTATGCCTCTATGATGGCACCTATTTCATTTTATTCTAATGACTTATGTATCTATCCCCCTTATTAGTCTGTGATCTTTTTGAGGGCAGTGGCTTTATCTTCATCTGTATACTAGGGACTCTCTTAGTACATGGGCTATATGATATAGCTGGGACTAAATTATGTTACTTGAATGAATTGATCAATGAATGAATGAATGAATGAATAAGGTACCCATTCTTCCCCTACCATGGGGTCTTGCCAGGTTTCTCAGGTTGGCCTCAAATTTGCAGTCCTCCTGCCTCAGCCTCTCAAACAGCTGGAATTACAAGCATTATCTACCATGCCTGTCTGGTACCCATCCTCCTATTCTTGCCCTTGCCAGTTCCCAGGCCCTTTATTCTGATCTAAGAAGCTGGTATAAGACTTGAAGGACTTTTTTTGGGTATGGTACTAGGGCTTTGTGCATCACAGTCAAATGTTCTACCACTGAGCTATGTATCCTTAGCCCCCCAAAAGATGATTTAATGAAGCTGTGGGTGTATACTCAGATGTGTTCAAGTCTGAATATGTGGACATGTTTTGAGGTCACCAAATTGCCTTGCTTCCCAGAGTATGTATTGGTGAACTCCCTTTTTCATTTCCTTAGGGGCACCAAGCCAACATGTACTGTTCTGCCTCTGCTTCCACACCCTGCCACATCACGTCACCCCAGTTCTGCTATGCCAGGAATGTCACTAGAGGAGAATGGCTCTATGACTCATGGGGCACCCAGGGGTTAAGTGGGAAGGGGGACAGAAACAAGATTGAGGGGTACAAGTTGGAAAATACCTGCCTTTTCAACATTCCTAACTTGACTTTTGGATTTTACGTTCATTCAGTCATTTATTAGGACATTTAGTAAACATTTATTAGGAACTTACTCTGTACCAGGCACTAGTCTAGATGCTTGAGATATAAAAATGGATAAGATGTAGTCTTTGACCTGAAAAGTTAAGTCTCATAAGGGAGTCAAACAGGTAAGCAGACTGACATAACAAGGTGGCAGGTGAAATAGTAATCTTCTGGCAAAAAAGGTAGGAATAAAGATCTCTAAGAATCTATAAATTAGAGATTTCTTCTTTCAGGTGGGCTTAAATCAAATTCATAGATCAACTCTCAGAGATAAGATTCCTGTTTAACTGTCTTTGTTCATTCAGGAATTTATTGGTTTATTTATAAACAGCTTTACCTCTACACTGAGGTTTATTTTGGGGGGTGGAGTGGGGTGGGGGGTGTTTTTGTTTTTTTGCGGTGCTGGGTTTGGAACCCAGGACCTGGCACATACCAGGTTAAGTTCTCTACCAACTGAACTATACCTTATCCCACACCAGTTGGTTCTTAAAGTAACTCAGGAAATGGAAGTAAATGCATGTCTTTTCTGAAAACAAGGATAATTTATTCAATTGATATATTTTTTTTCTTAAATACTTTTTCTGTTTGATATTTGTTTACTGCATACCTGTGAGTCAAATCCTGTGTCCAAGCTGTCTAGTTGTATGTTTAGTTGGGTGGAGAGTATAGGTATAGGCCATCTTAAAATACTTCAGTAGTAAACAGTATTGAATAGTAATCCCAATCGGTTGATGTTTGTTTACCTTCAGTACCTAGAAGACAAATAATCCAGCAGGTGGCAGCAAGAAAACAAGTATTTTATATCTCGATGAAGCTGATGTAAATGAGTAAAGGATAGTCTTTGGACGTTCCTGTCCTATGTTCCCTTTGGAGGACCCAAAAGACATTGGGGGCTACAAAACTTGAGGATTTTCCCATTCCTCTTCATTTATTCATTCCACAACGAGTTGCTGAGCAATACTCCGTTCAAAGTCACGGGTCAAAAGAGTGAACCAAACATCCCTTGCTCTCCAGGGGCTTGGTGTGATCAGGTCTTCAGCTCTCCACCAGGGTCCACACCCTCCAGGGTTTTTTGTTAAAGCGGAGCAGTTAATTCAATTAGAATTAGACTAGATTAGGAGCGGGGGGGGGGGGATTTTGGTATATCGAAGGTCCTTTGGGGCATACCTAATTGAAAGTTGGAGGCTAAAGACTTTGGATCACGGGAAGCTTTGTGATTCAGTCTCATCACCTTCCGTGTTTTTTTCTTTTCTTTTTCTTTTTCTCTATTTACAGGTCTTCATTGATTCATTCACCAATATTTACTGAACTCCGACACTGTGCCCAACTTTGAGTTGGACGCAAACAAAACAGATCTATTTCTAACGTCTTTCGGAGGAAGGTAAGACATATATTAAACAAGGTCGTAAAACCGAAAAAGGGCTGGGAAGAGTTCTTGGTGGCATGTGATGTTTAGTATATTCGACGGCTTAACGTCTCTGACTTGGTGCCAGCGCTTCCGCTGTTCTTTCCTGGGCTGTGAACTTGAGAGGGACGGCCCGAGCTGACTTTTTCCGAGTTTACAGCACGCAAAACCCAAGTCCTTTAAAGAGCCGCTTCAAAGTTGACTTACCGAGCCACTGTAGGGCGGTCCGCCGCCTAGCTGCTCGCCAGTTTTCTACTCCTGGATTTGTTAGGGTGTGAGGAACACTCCTCACGTGACCATCTGCAGCCTTCCGATTGGTTTTGTTTCCCCTCCCATTCAGTGGGTGGAACCCTGAGGCAGCAGGTCGGGCGCATGCGCACAGCCTCTTCCCACCCCCCTTGGCCATCTAGGAGTGGAGCCCTGCGGTTGGGCGATAAACAGGCTGCGGCTAGGGAGGAGGGAAGGGGGGGGGCGTTCTCGCCTCTGGGACTGCTTTTGGAAGTAAATGCCTTATTTTCCTTTTGGGTGAGGTTAGGTCCGGACGCGGGGTCCAGGCCTCCGGCTTGAGCCTACTCCTTTGTGAGAGCAGAAAATCGCTCCTGTGGAGAGCGATTAAAGTTGCGGAGGGGACAGCGAGCCGGGAGTTCTTCCCCATGGCCGGCGAATGGTTCGGCCCTGAACTGGTCCAAGAGCTAGCCGGACGCGTCTGAGAGAGGCCCCAGAGGGGGCGGGAGGGCCGTCCGCAAAACGTGAGTTCTGTGGAGAGACGTGGGGAAGATTCGATTCCGAGAAGAGGAAGAGCCCGACTGAAGGAGCGAGGCCGCTGAGGGGGAGGGGGCTGCCAAGATGGCGTCGGCCTCCTCCGGGCAGTCGGCGGTCGGATTTTCATCCTTTGATCCCGGGGTCCCTTTGAGTAACTCGGCCTCAGGTAAGCCAGGCGGGGCGTGGGCGGAGTGGTGGTGCGGCCTGTGCGGTCGGAGGTAGAGCGAGACTCGGCCGGCACCTGTAGCCGGAAGGTCCGAGGGGTTCCGGGAAGGTCCGAAGCCTGGCTCTCAGTAGGGGTTTCTGAGTGGGCAGGGAGTCCGCGAAAAGG